GTGAGGGAGGGAAATAAAGTTGTAATCTATAATTATGTGCTGGGTAAAAATAATTCCATGCAATTTCAAGAGTAATTTAAATGATAATAGATACGAATTGTAAACTCCTATGTGTTAAGTTTGGATATTAACAACTCATTAGGGCAAGACTATAAGAGATTTAATTCTCATAAATATCATAATTTTGACGTGGATGATCTGTCTTTAATCAGATTAAAGATGAGCATGTCTTGAATTTTCTTTAATACTAAATCTCTATCTTATGTAAAGCGTTTTCAACTTCAACTAACAAAGGATGACAAAATATTAAGAAAAATATGTTGGAATAGACTAAACTTATAGGATTTTGAAGGGTTCAAGATCTTGATTTCTGACTGTGAGCCAATCCTTTGCAAATTATGTTTTAGAAGTTTATCTCCAATGGTAATTAAAGAAAGGATGACCATTTCTATTTAAAAATTTTATGGATGCCCCAAATGAGAAACTGAAAATTCCAAAGGGGGTTGTTGGTGGGGTGGAATTCAGAAACAAGAGTTGTGTAGGTTTGACAAAGTCCTAGTAATGAAGCATATTGTTAAGGTCATGAATAAACAAACGCTCAAAAGGTTTGATGGGGTCATCCCCAATCAAGTACTTTTTTTTTTGTTTTGTTTTTTTTTGAATAAGTATGTAACTCAAACTAACTCCATATTAAAAAAATTTAAATATATAATATTAAAAATAATTTTTCGATAATATAATTTAATCCTTTATATAGCATAGAAGCAGGTAAAGGGTTTTGATTGAATTCTTCCTTAAGTGGGAACACAAAGTCGTGAGTTTTCGTTGAGGTCACGTCTTTGTCTCATACATTAGCAAGAAATTGCGCCTAGGCATGTGCTCTTGAGAGCAACAGCGGTCCAATCAAATGGCTAATTGGTGTATACTAATTCTGCATTCCTATTAGAGTTCTATATTATTTTTTTTAAAGGAAGTTCTCTATAGTTTTTTTTTGGTCCCTTTGTTTCTATCAGCCAACATCTGTGGCTCCTACAACATAGTTTTGCTGATAAAAAAACATAATTTCTAGCCATTTTGGGATTAAGAGTGCACGGTTGAATACCTGTAATGAATAGAGATAACGATTCACTAGATGATGAACTTGAAATAATTAAAGGGTTAAAAAAGGGGCCGGATTAACACTCGACCAATTTCCTCCAAAACTTAAGTCAGTCTACATTTGGAGACATGAACACAATGTATTTTCTTGGTTTCGTTTTGCGTACCTTTGTTCAATTTTCTCAAGAGTATATATACCTGAACTAATAATAATTAGGGAGTCTATGAGTCTCATATCAACATTTAATGGCTGACACTTATATCCAAGTTTAATGAGTGTGATCCAATCAAATCCCCTCAGGAGAATAAACTTGTGTTCAGGGTCCCCCGAGCATTAACTCCCCCTTGTCGATCTTTTGACAGTCTCGGTTCGGTGCTTGATAGCTACGCCTGAGTGTTAAATGCTCAGGAATAAGCACATCGGGTATTGCCGAATATAAAGTATCGGCGTAATGGTAATTAATACTTTGCAATGATGATAGGCTCTGTGGGTCTTGAGGAGACAAATGTTCATTAATAGTTTTGTCATAGTCAATCAAGTAATTATTTATGAGCAGTCATCTCCTCTTTAATGCTGGGTTTAATCCGTGTATGGTTAGCTCTTCTGGGTCATAACTCCTCGATTCCTCCTCCTAGCATCCTTTGAGATCCATAATGACTGTCCACGTATTAACATAAGGCTACTGACCCACCTAAAATCTCGTAAAAGAGGTAAATTTCAACACCCATTTTTTATTAAATCACTTATTAGAGTATGGTCCAAGAAACATGTTTCTATTAAAATAGTGGCTTCGTACTATAGTTGATCGGGCCATTTGTAAGTCACGAACAATGTAACAGTTTCTTGTTTTTACCATTACAAATTTGAAATGAACAAAATTTAAACAATTTAAAGCTGACAAGATTTTGTTTTCTTGTTTATTCGTTTAAAATTAAAATCTTATTTACCATATCAATCGCATATTATTTAACTCTTTTTTTCAGTTTTTTTTTTGGTTAATTCAAAATTCATCTTTTGTTGCTATTCTTATTTGTGATTCATGTCTTTACAGATTTAGAGAAAATATTGAATGTAACAATGCCTAGAAAGACTAGCCATCTCATACGGGAAGAGATAGTGATAAGGAAGGTTTGAGTAACTTATAAGACAAAAGAACACTCAGTAAATCGATGGCCAGAGATAACTAAAAAGACTCACAAGTTGAAGAATATTATAGAGTGCAGGGGCGACCCAAGGTCAAGCGAGGTCCTAGACTAAATTTTCATATGAGGCCCTATTAATATTTTGTCTATTGGTATATTTTATTTTTAATTATTATAGTTTTTTATGTTTTAAAAAATAATTTTTTATTTTTTAAAAAATTTAAAATATTGATCAAATTTTTATACTCAAGTTTTGACAATAATA